TTGTTCTTCTTTTCTGAGGTAGGCCTGTATTGCAATATACTTTCCTCTTAGCATAGCCTTTGCTGCATCCCACAGATTTTGCAATATTGAATTATTGTTGTCATTTGTCTCCATATATTGGTGATCTCTGTTTTTATTTGGTCATTGTTCCATTGGTTATTTAGGAGCATGTTGTGAAGCCTCCAAGTATTTGTGGGATTTTTCATTGTCTTTGCATAATTTATTTCTAGTTTCATACCTTTGTGGTCTGAGAAACTGGTTGGTACAATTTTAATCATTTTGAATTTACCAAGGCTCTTTTTGTGGCCTAGTATATGATCTATTCTTGAAAATGATCCATGTGCACTTGAGAAGAGTGTGTATTCTGCTGCTTTTGGGTGTAGAGTTCTGTAGATGTCTGTTAGGTCCATCTGTTCTAATGTATTGTTCAGTGCCTCTGTGTCCTTACTTCTTTTCTGTCTGGTTGATCTGTCCTTCAGAGTGAGTGGAGTGTTGAAGTCCCCGAGATTGAATGCATTGCATTCTATTTCCCCTTTTAATTCTGCTAGTATTTGTTTCACACATGTAGGTGCTCCTGTGTTGGGCACATAGATATTTATAATGGTTATATCTTCTTGTTGGATTGACCCTTTTATCCCTTTTATCATTATGTAATGTCCTTCTTTGTCTCTTGTGACTTTGTTTTGAAGTCTATTTTCTCTGATACAAGTACTGCAACTCCTGCTTTTTTCTCTCTATTAGTTGCATGAAATATCTTTTTCCATACCTTCCCTTTTAATGTGTGTATGTCTTTGGGTTTAAAGTGAGTCTCTTATAGGCAGCATATAGATGGGTCTTGTTTTTTTATCCATTCAGTGACTCTGTCTTTTAATTGGTGCATTCAGTCCATTTACATTTAGGGTGATTATTGATAAGTGTGTATTTATTGCCATTGCAGGCTTTAGATTCATGGTTACCAAAGGTTCAAGGTTAACTTCCTTACTATCTAAGAGTCTATCTTAACTCACTTAATGTGCTATTACAAACATAATCTAAAGGTTCTTTTTTTTTTCTCTCTTCATTTTTCTTCTTCCTCCGTTCTTTATATATTATGTATCATATTCTGTGTTTTTTGTTTATCTCTTGATTGACTTTAGGGATAGTTAATTTTGCATTTGCTTCAGTAATTAGCTGTTCTCCTTTCTTTACTGTGGTTTTATTACCTCTGGTAACAGCTATTAAACTTTGGGAAACTTCCATTTATAGCAGTCCCTGCACAATACACTGTGGAGAAGGTTTGTGGGAGGTAAATTCTCTCAGCTTTTGCTTATCTGGAAATTGTTTAATCCCTCCTTCAAATTTAAATGATTATCTTGCTGGATAAAGTAATCTTGGTTCCAGGCTCTTCTGCTTACTTGCATCAAATACATCATGCCACTCCCTTCTGGCCTGTAAGGTTTCTGCTGAGAAGTCTGATGATAGCCTGATGGATTTTCCTTTGTATGTGATCTTATTTCTCTCTGTGGCTGCTTTTAATAGTCTGTCCTTATCCTTGATCTTTGCCATTTTAATTACTATATGTCTTGGTGTTGTCTTCCTTGGGTCCCTTGTGTTGGGCGATCTGTGGATCTCCATGGCCTGAGACACTATCTCCTTCCCCAGATTGGGGAAGTTTTCAGCAATTATCTCCTCCTCAGAGACACTTTCTATTCCTTTCTCTCTCTCTTCTTCTTATGGTACCCCTATAATGCGAGTATTGTTCCGTTTAGATTGGTCCCACAGTTCTCTCAATATTCTTTCATTCTTAGAGATCCCTTTTTCTCTCTGTCCTTCAGATTCTTTGTATTCCTCTTCTCTAGTTTCTATTTCATTTATCGTCTCCTCCACCGTAGTCAATCTGCTTTTAATACCCTCCATAGTGCTCTTCAGTGATTGGATCTCCCACCGGAATTCATTCCTGAGTTCTTGAATATCTTTCCATACCTCCATGTTAATGATTTTTATTTTGAACTCCCTTTCAGGAAAATTCATAAGGTCGATGTCATTTAAATCTATCTCAGGAGTTGTATTAATAATTTTACTCTGAGCCAGGTTCCTTTGGCATTTCATATTTGTATGTGGCACCCTCTAGTGCCCAGAATCTCTACTCTTTGGAGCTGCTCAGCTCCTGAAGCAATGTTGGGGGTCGCAGGGGAGTGGTATTGATGCCTGGGAAAGGAAAGAGCTGTTTTCTTCTTCCCGGCTGCTATGCCTGTCTCTACTTCCTGAACCAGTTGGCCGAGCACACAGGTATAAGCCTCTATGTTTTGCATTTGTAGTTGCTATAGACAGATCTTCCTTCTGGCTGGTGTAATGCCAGGGTAGGCTTTGCCAGTTTATGAGCCAGGTGGGGCTGGCTGGGAGAAAGGCACAGTAGGCTGCGTATCATGGAGGGGGTCCTTGGAACTGTGTAGCCAGCCAGGGAGCTGGAGCACCTGGAAATCATGAAAGCTCCCAGCCTGCTGGGCAGAGTGCACCTGGACAATTTTGTCTACCTGTCCTTTCTCCTGTGCAGTAAACTCTGTGCAGTCCTTGCCCCTTTAGTAGCCCTCTTGCTAAGGGCTTCCTTGTTAGGAAGTCTCTCAGACTGCCCACCTTTCTTTTGTCGTAGAGCAGGCAGTATGGATCCCTGGTTTTCACAAGTGGCTGGATTCTCAGTCTCTCCAGGAATTCTGCCTGTCTTAGCTTTCCAACCCCCTAATCATGAGAGTGTCATGCAAGCACCATGAAATGTAGGTTTGTGCTCCCAGAGCAGATCTCCGGAGTTAAGTATTCAGTAGTCCCAGGCCTCAACTCCCTCCCCTCTCCGTTTCTCTTCCTCCTGCCAGTGAGCTGGGGTGGGGGAAGGGCTTGGCTCCCGCCAGGCTATATCTTTGGTACATTACCCCGTTCCGTGAGGTCTGCTCTTTTCTCCAGGTGTATGCAGTCTGGCACAGCCCTCTTTTCTGTTGCTCTTTCAGGATTAGTTGTATTAAAAGTATTTTTGTATTATATGCGGTTTTAAGAGGAAGCCTCTGTCTCACCTCTCACACTGCCATCTTTAATCCCATCGCCAATGTTTCTATGTGTGTTCTTGTGAATATAAAATCATGTTTACATGTAATTGTGAGACTGTTTCTTGTTTCTGTCTTTTGTTTATTTACTGTATGCCAGCATCGCAATCTTAAATACCAAATTTCTCATGATAGTCTTACAGGTATTTAATAGGTACTTCTCATAAGTCTTAATAGGCAAGTCCCCATGACTACATATTTTTGGAATTGTCATGGTTATCCTCGGATTTTTAGTCTTCTGTGTGAATTTGAGAATTATTTTGCTAAATTCCACAGAAAATCCTATTAGCATATTGATTGGAATTACATAGAATTACAAATTCAGTGTTTGTGACTGTCCACTAAAAATTATTATAAGCATCTTACTGTTTGGATTTATGATTATTTTTCTTGTAACTAAATTTCAAGAAAAAGAATTCTTAAGTCAGAAGATAGGAATATTTACAAACATTGACTGGATTGGCAGGTATTTTTAAAAGGTGGACAATGTCCACTGCTGGCAAAGGTTTGGCAAATGGGTATTTGAATACATTGGTGGTGACAGGGTGAGTTATTACACATTTATGGATAGTAACCTGGAAGTACCAACTAAGATTAAATAACAACTTTGTCTTTTGATATAGGAACCCTATTTTTGGGAAGCCTGTAGCAATAAAAGGGCCAGGGCCAAGAATGTATGTGTGTATATGTTTACAGCAGTTTGTTTATAACACCAAAAACTGGAACTCTCCTTAATGTTCACCAATGAGGAATTGTCAGATTAGTTATGGTGAAGTTCATGGCCAAAGAATATTATGCAGATATTTAAGAAATTGAGTCAGATCTATATCATTGATCTGAAAAGTGGTTTATGAGAGCTTTAAGTGAAAAACTGGGGCAGAGGAATGTGTATACTGGTTGCATTTTTATTCAGAAGCAGAAAGCATAGGAAAACTGCCTATGTCTGTGTGTATTTACATAAGAGCCACAGAAAACATTGATGAATGCCCACCAAGCTTACGTTGGTTATTCTGAGGGTTAGGTTGGATGTAGGGATGGAATATTTTTAAATATATTCTTCTACATACATCTTTAAATTGGCTTAGTATTAATTGAGTACAATGAACATACCATAAAATTCACCCATTTAACAGTTAATACAAGCCAGTAGGTTTTAGTAAATTCATACGTTTTGTAACCATTACCAGTATCTAATTCCAGAGTGTTTTCATCACCCCACTGTTTATAACAAGCATATTTTACTTTGCAGTTTAAAAAACAGTAGAAAGTTAAAAGGAAATCACAATGAGTTGCCAGAACAATAGCCTTATTTTGGAAAAGAGGCCTGCCTGCCCATGCTGTCTAAGTCAGTCAGATGTCTGGCCTTCTAGCAGATCATTGCTGGGGTTGGCCTGTTTTCATATAAATGGGATAATAAAAACTTACCAACCATTTTAAACAAAAGGGTGAAAATAACTGTAACCTTTACCATTTCCATTGATCAAAATACTAAAAGCTCTTGTTACCTAGTAGATAAGTTCTCCCGGATGACGTCCTCAGTAGCCTCACATTTGAGTACCTGTATCATTGCCCTGTCTGCATTAAGTATTAGGTTAAACAAAAAGGTATGAAAACTGGTATCTTACTGCTTCTGTGACTCTTTGGTCAACAATGAGATTGAGCTTTTTTTTTCTTTTTTTCATGTTTTCTAGTCATTTGTAGTTCTTAATATTTTTAAAATGTAATTTTTTGGTTAATTGATTACTCATCTTTGCTTTTTTGTCCCTGGCCAGTGGCCTCAGACATTTGTTGAAAAATCATTCCTTCTGACTGTTGAAATATTCCTTCCTTGTCTTTGCCCTTTTTTATTGTATGTTGAGTTCTTCCATTATGATTTATTCCCAATGATGTTTATAATTCATTTAAAAGTGAATTTGCTTCCATATTTAGCGTGTATATGATGAAGAAGTGGAGGAGCCGGTACTCAAGCCTGAGGTGGAGAAAGCAGAACAGGTACTTGCATTAAATCTCCCATTTAGTTACAAAATTGGAAGAGAGAAATGGTGGAGATTTGTAATATATCTGGTGGGGGATGGTGGGTGGGGGGAGTATTGGGGGAAATGGGAAAGGCTGCTTCTGAAAGTCCAACAATTAGAATCTTTGGTTTGTATTTTGAAATTTAATGTATTAAGAAATACAAAGTTCCTGAATTCTTGCTTTAGAATAGAGCCTAGGTCCACAGAGATTTTCTATAGAAGGCCAGACAGTAAATATGTTAGGTTTTGCTGGCCACAATGGTCTCTGTCTCTTCCTCCTTTTTTACCTTCTCCTTCCCTCTTAAAAAAAAAAAACCTCTTCTTACCTTGAGGGCTATACAAAAACAGATCACAGGTGAGTCTGTCATTTGTTAGTTCTTTGAAGACTGTGTTTTCCTATCTTTCTATTAACTGCTTTGACTCTTATTCCTACCAGTATGAAATGACAGCATGGTGAATGCTGGCATAGTCCACATATTGAGTGCCTTCTGAGTGTCACACGATGTGTTAGTAGAGGACACGGAATGTGCAGTGAACAGTTTCTGACTCAACTCAGATTGCAGGGAGCTGGTGACTTCGAGAAAGACTTTGTCCTTAAGAGGTTATAGTCTTGACTGGGGCAACAGGACAGAGCATGTCAGAGCTGCATGGCTGCTGTTCTGGAAGTTAAGATGAGAAGGAGCTCAGTTGTGTAAGATAGCAGGGAAAAGCTTCAAGGATGAGATGTTAGCTGGGTGAGGAAAGATGGACCAGATTCTAAGGCCACTGAAGCAAGAGAGAATGCCATGAGCTAAGGCTCAGAGTTGGGTTGTGCCTGGTATTTTATGGACTGTGTTAGTGGAAGCTATTGGACATCAGGTAAGGGCAAGGAAAGGGAGTGGAGTAGGAGATTCATAAACAGACCAAGGAGTTGAAGGGCAGCAGATTTTACCTTTTGTTCCCTGGTGGCCTCTCATCCTGCAGATGCGCAACCATTCTTCCTGGTGGCTCTCACGTGCCAGGGCCAAAGCCTATGTCAGAGGTTCTCGACTTTCTAGCACTCTGGCAGAAGTTGTACCCTTTTTTTTCCACTTAGGAAAGCACAGTGGAATGTGAGTAAGTTTTATTGTGGGAGTAGCATTTAATCACCTCTAATTTATTCAGAAAATACAAATCACTTTATCAGTACTTTATCAGTACTATTACTTATAACATATGAAGCTATTTAGACTAGACTAGGAAAGGATGTTAAAAACCAGCTATAGTTTTGCCTACTAGTCTTTTTTAAAACATTATTTTATTTTTAATGGTACTCAAGGATTTGCTCACCATTTAAATGCAATGGTATCTGGTTATACCAGATCAGGGTACAATTTTAAAGTGATAAGTATTTAGGGAATTATTTTTAAAAACCATTATATATTTATTTCACAAACATGTTTCACACATGTAGTACAATGATAGGTATTTAACTATAACCAAGCATACCAGAGTGGAAAAAAGATGCAGCCAAAACAAAAAAGTTAAATTGGACAGACTTCCATACTAGAGGTAAAGTATAAAATAACTCAGAGGGATTTCCCTTTTGGCCTTCAGAACAATACTGCATAGTTTGGTTCTTCCTATAATTATGTTATCAACTTCTAGAATATTTGTGAAGAGGAGAAATGACACAATTTTTTTTTCAATATTTCCCACAACTGGTGACACAGTTGAGTGTCTGAGGGGACTGTCATTGAGAACTGCTATTGTAGGAAATGGACACCTGTGGAATATTTTCAGCAGGTTGGTGATGTCCAGACTTTTATGTGGGGGGGCATTGTTCTAGGGTGAGGTAAAGGATAGATGAGAGATGAAACTTTGAAACAGATTTATAAAATAAGTATAATTCTGATATTGTATTTTTGTTTTTAACTGTAATTGAAAATGACATCTCTGGCTGAAGCTTTTTCTTTTAAAAATTGTCCATAGTACCATTAACCAAGGTTAGTGGGATACAGTCATGGTGAAGCTAAAGGTCTAGGTCCTTCATTCCTACAGCAGGAAGTAAAATGCTGTTTAAGGGCTTATGATGTGTAGGTGCCTTTATGTAAGTTATCTTGCTGAACCCTAACACAATGGTTGTGCTTTTGTCTTTGAAGATAATGAATCTGGAGCTCTGGTACCTTAGGTAGTTGGATCCATGACCTGAAGTGACAAGCTTGGGATTTAAAACTTACTCCAAAGTCTGTGTTGAGCCATTCAGCAGAACCTGACTTTAGTTAACATTTTTGAGATATTTATGGGGAGCATTAGTTTAGGCATTAGGAGACAGTCGCAGTATTTTATTAGGGTGGTATCAATTTATTGGAGATCCATACTGAGTAGTAGTTTTTTGTAGGAGAAGACCCGGGAACAGAAAGAAGTGGATTTGATTCCTAAAGTTCAGGAGGCTGTGAACTATGGTTTACAAGTATTGGACAGTACATTTGAGCAACTGGATATAAAAGCAGGAAACTCAGACTCTGAAGAAGATGATGCTAATGAACGGGTGGAACTGATCCTTGAACCAAAGGTAAAGAAAGGTAAAGACATTCAATTCCCTTATTTATATTGTTAACGCCTTTTGTGTTTTTTGGGTACTTTATTTGGACACAGAATTAGGAAGACATGGACCTTGCTTTGAGGAAGTGAGCATGTCATGTAGCAATGTCATGTTGAAAGACACTTGCTTTACTCGAGCATTTACATCGAGTACTTACTAGGTACCAGGCAGGATGCCAAGTATGGAGTACAAAGGTGCAGGACATCGTTCCTATTCTCTTGATGTTTATTGCAGCATTAGCAGATGGCAGGAGAGAAAAGATACTTATATGAGTCACCACTGTGAGTGCTCTGAGAGCGAACTGACTTCCAGCTGGGGAAATCAGGGTAAAGATGAGACTTGAACTGGTATTTAAAGGATGAAGAAAGAGGCTCATGACAGGTAGAGATTTTGGGAACCTGAAACTCAGTACCTTGCTCTTAGGGAGACCGTGGAGGTGTGGAAAGACATTTGGGTTGTTCGGTTTTGGCTATTATGTATAAAGCTTCTGTGAGCATTCATGAACAGACTGTTAGCCTAGCAGGTAGTTATTGCTCTCCTGTTGGCAAAGGAGACAATTAGGGCAACATAGAGCCACTCAGTAGTAAACACAAAAGGTTGCTGTATTGGTTTTGAGAGTCTTGGTACCCAATGCTTTATGAAGTGAAATATGCCACAAAACCACAAAACATGCCAAAAAATTCTTCTAGAAGTCACTTGTATCTTAGCACACTTTTCTTCCGATTGGAGCTTCCAGTGTTATACCAAGTTGAGGCCAATCTGTTAGCGCTGTACATTTGCTGGCTTGCTTTGCCACTGCAGAGATGTAGAAGTCAGCAGGGACCCTAGGAAACATTGCCTGCCAGACATATTACTTCCAAGTCAGACATCACCTTCTCTTTGACAGGAAGATGTGGGAACACCCTCTGAGTCAGTGAAACAGTTAGCCCAATTAGCACTTCGGTTTGTATGCACTAAATTGGTTGCCATTGTGTCTTTAACCTTAACATTAACCTTCCCAGAATTTCTGTTGTGTGAAGCATCAGAATTGTTCTCCCCTGTCCCCCAAGGGTCATTAGGGAGGAGATATGTCCAAAGGTCATGCCTGGTAAAGGAGAAGTTAGCTTTTTCTGTGGCAGGTGGAGATGGGATGTTTTCCTAGGGTGGAGCACTTTCTTGACCATAATCTTTAATGTGTGTGATGGGTGGGGCTCAGAAGTAGAGGACTGAAGTGGACAGATCTCCAACATGTGTCATTGTGTACACAGTCTCCTCCGCTTTATTTGGTTTAATCACCTAGTCTTAATTTACCGAATTTGCTTTACTGAATTACACAGTGTGAACCTCTGGGTGATACTGTTCTCTTTTTGGGGTTATTTTTTCTCCCAGGTAGGTTCTCATCAGTCTTTCGGATGTGTTCCTTTAGCTCACTGTGGGGAGTGCAGGTATCTGCGTAGTTGCCGTTCTGTGCCTTTTCATCCAGCCCTTGCTGTATGTGCTCTGTTCAGCCTTCTTTTTGCTCTGATGTAGCGTGAAAGAGTCCTCCTCGAGTCCCTTGCTGCCTTGTTGGTGACCTGTCTATCCACTCCCCACCCCAACCCCACAAAACCCTGGACATACCTACCCACCTTCTCACAGTCAAATTAAAGCGTTTGAGTTATTCCCTCATTGTGCTTGTCTCCAAATTTAGGACTCTTAACTGATCATTTTCAAGATTGATTTGTGGATTTTTGCTCACCAGTGCTGTTTTTTGGGGAGGCAGGTAGGGTTAGGACTCATCTGAGCAGGTCAGAGCTTAGTTTCTTTCCTTGGTCCTCCTCCTTCCGGACAGGGTATGTGAAGTTGTGCCCCTTCTTTTCTGGTTACTGCTGATGGATGAACTTCTTGTGTGCCTTTGCTGTTTTTGTTACTGTAATTAAGCACTTGAGATTCTGTGTGATTCAACATTACTTTGCCATCTTTACTGATGATTTGACCTTTTTTATATCAGTGGGTTGGGTTTTTTTTTTTTGGACTTTTATTCCTGTGTTTCTTACTCTCCACTTTTATTAAAGTAACTTTTTGAAGTAGTCCGATGGAACAAAATGGAAAACTATTTTTTTATCTATAATGGCTATTTCTTTTCATTACTTACACGATCTATACATTGATCGTCCTTTACCTTATTTAATTGGGTCAAAGCTATTCATGGAGCAGGAAGACGTGGGTCTTGGAGAGTTGTCTAGTGAAGGTACTCTTTTGCACCAAACATTTCTGTTACTTTTAAAATTTATATCTTAATGTATATTTTTAAATAATTTCAAACTTTGCATTAATGTAAAAATAGTACAAACAACTCCCATGTATCCTTCACCCTGATTTACCAGTTGATAACCTATTACATTTTTTTTGTCATTCTCTCTATATATACATAGTACTTTTTTTTAACTGATTTGCAAGACATCATGCCTTATTACCCCAAAATTTCTGTGTATTTTCTAAGAATAAGGACATTCTCTTATATAGTCACAGTGTGTTATTATCAAAGTCAGGAATTTTTACTGGACATAATACTATTAGGTAATCCTTAGTTATATTGAGATTTTGCCAGTTGTCCCAATAATGTCCTCTTATAGTCTCTTTTTTCCTCTGGCTTAGGATCCAATTCATGATCACTCACCGTGTTTAATTGTAAATCTCTCTTAGTCTATTACAGTTGGTATTTTTGAAGAGTATAGACCAGGTTTTTTCTTGGTAATTAATGATAGGTTTTTTTTGGTAATTAATTGTCTTGTGGGGAGATACTCTGAGGCTATGTAAATGTTCCACTGCTCACTATAGTGAAGATACTTTTAATTCTAGTTAATGGGTATAGATGGTTTTATCTGAATCTTTGTGATGCTACTGTATGGTGATTTTGGATTTTGAGAAGGAACTCAGGACATTTTCTTATGAATATTGGCAATATCCCTTCTCTTGATTCTAAGCAGAAGGTTCAGTAGGCAGCGATCGTGGCAGTATTGTGGACAGTGACAAAGAGAATGAAGAAGAGGTAAGTGCTGTTTGGTGTCTCCAGGTTATGGTGGGAAGGAAACTTAGGGGGTATTTAGTAGGCTAAGTAAATAACATAGCTGTGAATTAGCAATCTGTTTTCATAAATCCTTTAACAGTGGTAGTGTCCATATCCTGAAGTTTTTCCTTGGGATTTCCTCTTTGTCTTGTATGTACACAAAGAAAGAAAACTACTTTAATCCCTTTTACCATTACTTTTTCCCACCTCTGCACCAAGTCCTCTTCATACTTGTATGTCCTGAGGGTGGCAGTTTAGATATTTTGGTGGAATCTCTGCCTGAGGTATATATAGTCTTTGAGTAAGTTCTATATTTGAATAATTCTATGGAAAAACATTCACATTTAAAACTTTTTTACTGTAAAACCTCTAGACCAGAAGAATGCATCCACTTACATTTTAGCTTTGCTTCTGACTCTAGCATGTCCATGGAGTGTAATCTGACTCCTTGCTCTAGGGTCTCAGGGTCTGAGGACCTTGACTATTGTATCTGGAGATGTCCCTTTAGACGACATGGTCATTGCAGAGGGCAGAGAGTTCAAAGGATAGTTCTTGAGTGTGGATTTCTAAAAGGAGACAGTATTGTATGCATGCTTCTCTCTTCTCTTCCCTCTTTCTTTCCACAGTTCCTCTCCATAGCCTTCCTTCCACCCATGCTCCAAACAAAATTCCTTAACAGTAGGAAATAGGCTTTTCCTGAGTAATCTCACTATAGCTAATGGTTACTAGTTGAATCCTTTGCTTTTAGCTGTCAATGCAGCTGTTTACCTAATTGCTGGTAGCAAACACTGATGTTTCCTTTTTGGGCCAAATGAAGTTGTTATCTTACCTAGAAGGAATATAGAGAGTGGAGTCCAAAATGTGAAATAAACCAACTTCTGATAATTTACATAATGAAATGTGCAAATCCTTAAATTGAAAGGCTAGAAATGATACTTCAGATAGATATGAACAAATTGTTAGAGATACTTAAATTGACCACAAAAATTACACATTTGCCAGGACAACCCTCAGGCATATTGGTAACTAATCTACCGTATCTGCACTTTGATACTTCAGGTGACAGTAATCAGTACAAAGAGATACAGTACTGATGTGCCCTGGAAACTTATACCTGATGGAACTTCTGTGCTCTTGAGCAAAGCCTTTATTAATACTGGGGGAGAGGCGTTGTGTATTTTCCTCGGTTCTTGTGCCTGCTGCAACAAAGAATTGAAGGGCACAGACACAGTAGTGAAGCAGAGTAAAAGTTTGATTTTAAAGTTACTTAGAAAGTAAAGGCGACCTCAGAGAGAGAGGAGCTCCCTGAAAGGTTGGGAAAAGTTAGTTATGCACTCTAAGTGCGGGTGACCTCAGAGAGAGGAGCGCACTGAAAGGTTGGGGATTCCCCCTTTTAAGGATTTCAGGAATGTGACAGAGGTCTGGGGTGTGGACTTATTAAGTGGTCTTAAGTATCTTTGATGACACATTAAGTTTCTCATCAGTCTTCTAGGTAATTCTGCAAAACTAGCTTAACAAGAAATTTACTGCTTTACTTCCCTCCCAGGATAGCAGCTTCCTGGTTTGGGAGCACATCAATCAAGACTGTCTGCACCTTCCTCCAAGGTGGACAGAGTTATTTGTTTGTTGTTTGCTAAAGAGTATGTTAGGAATTTTTCTTTTAACTTCCTGGATTTTTTCAAAATGTAATTTTGGCTTTAAGGTGGTATCTCCCTGCCTTTATTATGCTGTTTATAGGTGGGCCTTTTAGCAGGCTAGAGTAAATCTTACAATGGCACAATGAAGACATGGGCTGTGCTCAGATATTTCTCTTTATCTGGGGAATATTCAAACATTCCAGGCCAAGTTGCTTCTGACCTTTTGAGCTTTAACTGATTAAGTCTGAATCTTTTCTGTCTTTCTAGTTTTAACCGTTTAATTGAGTCCTTTCTAGGGGGCTTTACTGACCTTGTTCTCTTTCCATCCCACTCATATCTATTTTCCTGCCTAACATTAACAACAAAGTTTTTTTCTCCTAAAGGAGTCAGATGAAGATTTTGCCAACCGTAGTGACAATGATCGAAACCGGGTAAGCTTCATGTATTGAAGTGATTTGACTTTGAAATTTACTTGAAATGTAACATACATTCTAAATATATGCTAGAATTAACTTTTGAATGGCTTGTGAGAAAGTAAGCATTTATCCCTGTTTACAACTAATTTTCCTTCAAGCATTTCATGTTTTTAGGCTAAGGCTAAGTACCTCCCACTACATATTTCTCCAGTTTTGCTTGATGTTTTATTTTCTTTTTTCTTGGGAAACAAAAGATTTAAAAAGCAAAATTGAGAAACAGAGCCTCTGAAAGAAGACCCAGGTACCCAAACTGAATTTTCACATGAATCTTCCTCCCCTGTTTAAAAATTGAGATAATAGAGCAGTAATGTTAGGAACACTCAAAAGATGAAAATCTTGTAATCCTACTGCCTTAGCCTAGTTGTCTTAATTTTTGTCTACCTTTCTAAGGAATCGATGAAATATTCTTTTCATAATATGCATAGTTTATTTTCTACTATCATATTTCCTATATACCATAAGGGTTTCCTTGTTATTATCTTTGTAATTTCCTTTGCAAACTTCTGTATTCTAAGAATACTGATGAAATGATGCTGTCATAGTCCCTAAATATGAATGGAAAACAGTTTATTTTGAGGATTTTATTTTTGAGAGAATGCTATATTCAGTATTTTCACACATAAAAACCCTTTGCTTATGTGAACTGTTGCCTTAAGAATAAGGTGGTGTAGAGTTACATTAAAGGCTCTTGATACAATTATCTGGTGGACATTCCAGATTACAGATCATGTGTAATGATTTTCCTACAATCTTATCATCACTGGGATTATGATTTTTGCTACCATAGTATATGTACAGTGGTATACAGTAATCCTCCCTTATCCACGGGTGACATGTTCCAGGACTCCCAGTCTGAATGGGGGAAACTGCAAGTAGTACTCAGTGTACCTTAAACCATGGATAGTACTGAACCCTAATGTTCTTTTCCTATACGTCCGTACTTACAGTAAAGTTTATAAATTAGGCACAATAAGAGAGTAACAACTAATAAAATTGAACAATCATAACCATATACTCTAATGAAAGTTATGTGGATGTGGTCTCTCTCTCAAAATATCTTACTTTACTCTACCTTCTTATGATGATGTGAGATGGTAAAATGCCTACATGATGAGATGAAGTGAGATGAAAGGCTTAGATAGGCATTGTGATCTAGCATTAGGCTACTATTGATCTGTTGATTAATAGGAGGATCATCTGTTTCCAGAACATAGTTGACCATGGGTAACTGAAACTGCAAACATGAAACTGGGTAAGGGGGAGACTACTGTATTGAGGTCACCCTAATTTTGCATTTCAGTTTGCTAATTAGGAAATAATTTTTCACAAAGATTTTCAACTATCAAATGAAGGATTTAGAACTTTTTGGTTGGTACTTGTATTTTTTCCAGTTGTATTTACAAATGTTGCTAGTCTCTATAATCTTAATTCTTCTTTAAAGGATATTTATTTCTATGGAATTTATTACTGAGATCCATAGATTCCAACAGTTTTTCAAACAGTACAATATAGTAATTAAAAAAAGTATCAGCTTAACCTTTTGTATTGAAAAAGACACTGTTTTTGTGTGCCACAGCTATCCTCAAAGTTCTAAGGACTGAATTAGTTAATAAAGTGCTTTAGCATAGTGCCTGGTGGTTTATTGATTTAAACATTAAAAGAATTGTTTTACACAAATTATCCATATCAGTGGTTGTTTTTATAAAAGCTAGAACTTAACCATTAAACTTAGTTTGAGCTTTCCAATCCTCATCTTCTTACACTCTCCAGAGGTGCCTGGTGGTGTGATCTGAGAGTATCTATTTCCAAGTGTTTTTCTTTGCTTCTACAAATACAGCTGTGTCCATAGAAATGGTGGAGTGGGCCTGGTGGCACACCGGGTTTCCCATCAGCATTTATCTTCCTCAGTGCTTTGGATGGTCCCTCCGGTTGTTACAGCTTATTACTTTTAACTTCACATTCTTATTAAGATAAAACCCTATTTAGTGTATTCATTTCTCTAGTGATGGACATTGTTAATATTTCAATATTTTGCTTTTCTTGCACTGAAATTTGAGTGTTAACTTGTTCCAGCACATTGACTGCTTCATAACTTGTGCTTTATCATCATCATTTAGCAAGCTGCCTACCATTTTGCCTTCAAAGCGGAATGGCAGTATCTCTTTTCAGCTTGGTGACCTTATCTGATTGTTCTAACTGGTTTTATACTCTTAGCACACTGCACAGATGAGTGATGAAGAGGAGGAGGACGATAGTTGTGACATTTTTGCTGACTCTGAGAAGGAGGAGGAAGATACTGAGGACATTGAAGAAAATACTAGACCTGTAAGAAAGACTGGTATTTGCTATCTCATGCCAAGGTTTTAGAAATGGTACCTAGGCCTCATTTCCTTATTGTCATTTATGTTTATAACTTTCTCATTTTGCATACTTGTCATTTCATTTACGCTTTTGAAAATAATGGTTGAGGATCCCAAGCTGCTTTACAAGTACTACCTTTTCTTCCAAATGTTAAAATTTTACAAGTCACATCATTCAAAATGCATTCAGTTCCAGAGTTTTAAAACCCTAAAGTCCCTCCTCCCCCCACCCCAAGTGCTTCATGGAAGCTTTCTTATCTAGCTCTTCGAATATTAAAGTGAAGTATTAACAAGGTAGGGAAATAAGGAGCATCTTCCTTTGAAGGACCACTGAGTTCTGCTTCTTGGTGATCTGTATGGGGTGCATCTGTTTACATTCAGTTAGTTAAACCCTGTTTTCTCATCAGTTCAATTTATTTGCTGTTTTTTACATAATTTTGTTAGGTATCTGGAAGTAAACTGTATTAATTTGTATGTCACCAAAAGTGATTATTTTGGTTATTTCTGCTGATAGACAAAAAGTAGACCTACATCGTTTGCTGATGAGCTGGCTGCTAGGATCAACGGGGGTGCCTGGAGCCAGAAAGAAGAGGAGCAGATAAGTAAGCCACTGAGATGAGCTGATGGTGGTGGGGAAGTGCAAGACCCTCTGCTGGGCTTCACGGAGGGTAGACTTCTCTGTTTAATTTACTGAGGCATGAGAGCCTTAACCTGTAGTTCTTATTCTTTTTTCGGTTTCTAGACTCTTTGATAACTGAACACTGAGGAACTCTGAAGAAAAATGTACATACGCACATTTTGTATGCAATTTCAGGGGACTGATAGATGTCACCGAAAACCATGGGGTCCAGATTAAGACTCTCTTGCTTAATATTTACTTTTATCTTTTGACTAAATAAAAATATACTATATAGTATATACTAGTGATTTAAGAGGGTAAAGAGATGTCAGAATAATTCTTCTCAGCAGGTGCAGTCCTGGTATGCACATACCTTAGGATGTAAGCTGAAGCTTTCTGCCTTGGAAAGAGGCACTACTGAGATACAAAGTTGATGTCTTGCTCTAAGATTAGGAGCCATGAGGATGACAGGCCTGTGTGTAAAGAAGCAGTGGGTAAACACCGAGGGTAGACTGAATATGGTTAAAACTGTGAACTATTCCTCAGGTCTTGTCTCCAGGAGAAGCAAAACCTCAGGAGACAGTAAAAGAGAAGAAAGAAAGAACTCCCTCAGATGGTAGGCCTCTTCCCTCCAGTCTGCTATTTTGGGAGGCACTGAACTCAGGGACATGGTCATTGTAATTCATAAGGTACCTCTATAAGTGCTGACAGATTGGGTCTTTTGCCATTCATATTTCCAAAGCATTTAAAAGCATGCTTTGGGATGCTGGAAGGAGATGTGGGTATGAGGTAGAAATACTGTAGAATCTGACTTATTAGATGTTGTAGCAACCATTAGCCATCTTTCCAGAATTCTTTAGAAATATAGAAACTAGGGATCTCTAGCATTTGTTCTCAGTAAAGAATATGTTAGGTGCTTTCGTAGTAAACAGGAGCATCCACTGTGTTCCTGCTTGTGACTGGTCAGTATATAGATGTCTCTTCAGTCTGCCCTTTCTTCCTTCAAGTTCTTGGTGGAGTGGGTCTTGAATTGCAATTAAACCATATATTTACTAGTTTTAAAAAAGAAGTGAATCTAGATGGTGGGAATACCCGTGGAATTCCTCCTGCTCCAGACATTATAGACTTGAGGGTCGGAACCCACAGAGCTTTTTAAGGGATTTGGTGGACTGTTGAATGAGTTTCTGTTGTGAAATGTCTGGCTGCCAATACCCATCTTTATCCCTCCCTGCAAAACTTTCTTTCTGTTTGCTAGATGAAGACGATAACTTCTTTGTGCCCCCAAGCTGACTGATGAAGACTTCTCACCATTTGGCTCCAGAGGCGGCCTGTTCAGTGGAGGGAAGGGACTTTTTGATGGGGAGGAGGAGGTGAGTTGGTGGTAAGCAGTGAAGCTCTCCAAAGCCTTGTCATGGGTCCGCAGGGAAGAAATGCACTTTGGTCCATTGGCAGGGGAAAAATGGCTTCTTAGTTAGAAGTTGCTTCTACTTTCATATTTTGAGACATTTTAAAGTAAGAATCACTAAGTGATACTCTTTGTGAGGTGGGGAGAGGATGTTGGAGTGTAAGTAGTAAATAATTTACTTGATTAGGCAACTGTTTCTTTTCTTGTCTATCATTCTTCTTCCATGTTTGTATTTAACTCCTGGACAGACCAGATTATTTAAAGTCTGATTTTGCCATAGTTTTCACTTTGGAACTGGTTTTCTGGCAGAACAGTAAATATATATCTTTACACTTTACAAAGATCTTTTCTTTAGAAATCCTCAAGTGCAGCTACCATGTCCTGTGCTGTTTTGAAATCTGTGTCGTGTACCTTCTTATGAGCAGAGCGACCTCTTCACGGAAGCGCCTCAGGATCAGGAAGCTCGAGCCTCCATTAGTGCAGGTGAGCTTGGATTGGGGCTGACTCTGCTTCTTCCTGAACAGATTTCCAGAACTGCTTACCTCTCGCCAGGAGATAGAACCCCTGAGGCTGTTCCCAGGCCTTGCTTCTTAGTTAGGCAGGAAGCTGTTGTGTTTGCCTTGTTCTAGTTAAAAGCAGTTCATCTTCACTACACGTTTTGGAAAAAAGCAAAAAGCACCAACTATAGACTCACATCACAGTTTTGCTTCTTTCTTAGAACTCATACAAAGTCAAATGAAAAGTACTCTATAGTGGTGTGGAGGATATTTTATGTAATTGTTTAATTTAAACATTTCTAAAGTTCCATGTAAGTTGGAGATCAGTAAATCCCCAGTCTAGTGTGCATCAGACTCATCTGTGGAGCATACATTAAAAAAGAAACAGCTGGTAATATTTATTCTATTAGTTCTGTGGTAGTTCTGGTGAATTGAGAATTAGTTCTTTTAAGTGACCTTACCTCCCCAGGCCATGAGTCGTCAGATTTTGTACTTGCTTTGATGCTGGCTGACTTGACTGTTCTGCAGGCCATGCTCTCCACTTTCTGGCACCAGTAAGTTGCCTCGTTTCCCTCTTTCCTGTTAACTGTCTTCATTTTTTTTCACTGATGTCTCAGATTTGTAGCTGCTCTCTTTTACCTGCTCATTCTCATCAAATCAGAATAGATAGAGTTGATTGAGGAGCCTGCTTGCGCATACCCCACTTCCCACATCTATGCTCTGCACCTTCCTTGGACTCCCCTGCAAACCGCACTGCTATTGTTGATCAGAGTCAGAGTGATCTTGCATGGGAATCACAGATTAAATTGTATTAGGACTAAGAAAAAACTCATGACATCAGTAGAGAAGACTAAGTAAGCTAAGGAATTTTTAAATGGCTCTACAGGAAAAATTTGTTTGAACAGGTCTCCTGTTAGCTATGTATTGTGTTGTACATATTTCAGGCAAGTGCATTTAACAAGTCATTTTNAGCCTACAGAAAGAGCTTGTTTACTGGCATTAGTTCATATTCTCTTAGAAACCAGTGGCCTTGGACTTTTTAGTGTTCCACTGACCAGGTGATTCTGTAGCATAGAAGGATAGGGGCTATTGGGTTGTTTTAATGGTTTTATGGATGAACCAAAACAAAGTTCTTGGTGGGTGATACTGGTTTTTTTTTCTGTAAAGTCAGGAGGCCCACCCACACTGGCTCACATTTGTGACTGTCCTTTCTCTCCACCCACAGGGGACACCGATGTGTTTGGTGCCACCTCTGCTCCGTCACTGAAGGAACCCCAGAAGCACGAGCAGCCTACCGCAGGGCAAAGCCCGTACCTCGCAGCTCCCACTGGCCTCTTCGATGACACTGATGATGACGACACCTTTTTTGCGGCATCATCTAGCAAGTCTTCCATGACAGGTACCTGCTCCTGCCTCTTTTTTGGGAATGTAGCCAGAAGAAGAATGTCAACCTAAAGAGGACAGAACGCTCCTCTGGTTCTGTACCTTGTGCAGTGCAGAACCCCTCCTGGCTCAGAGCAGTCTCATCTCCACCTAAATAATTACGGTGCCCTGGAGGTGTCTGTTTTATGAGCCAATCTTTTTTGCTTTGGAAACCAATCACTAGGATTCTTTCTTTTAGAGAGCTGAAATCTGTTCCCTTGTAATGTCTGCTGCTCAAAGTTTCTAGTTCTGACCTTTGGAATTACAGGAAAGTGTTCATCACACTTTGTTCTAGCAGCCCTCAGTAAAATATATGAGCAGAATGTCACATGCTAGCTGTTCTCTGTGCCAGAACAGAAAGCCCAGGTAACCTTGACCTTTTCTTAATATGACAAGGTTTCCAGCCCCTTGGTCCCTGTGGCACTCTCCTCTCTTCTCACGGTTAAGTCAGTGTGTTCATAAAAGTCACTCCTCTAAACCAGCTGTTCTTTCATGTGCAGGTGACTCTCCCAGGACTCTTGGCAAAGATTCAGATTCAGTGGGTGTGGGTTGGTACTGGGAATTCTATGTTCTAACGAGTTCTCTGGTGGGCAGAGATTGCTGCTCTGTGGATGGCACTTGGAAGAGTAAGGCTTGGGTCCATTGGGTGCTTTTCCCGAAAAGGGTAGACCACTAATGTGCACAGGATTTCCAGCAACCTGAGAAAAGTTGGACGAGATGGAACAGGATGCACTGAGAGGCAGGCGTGGGAAGGAAGGACAGAAGCAAACATGAGGGAAATAATACCTCATTATTTTAGAAAGAGTATAAGCACAGACATAATAGAGGCAGATAGATATAGGCCGACAAGATGAGATGATAGTAAATAAAGGCAATAGTGCATCTCTTGGCCTGGAGCTTTTCATTTAGTGGATATCATTGAGAACTGATTAGGAATCACAAATAAGTTGACAGTTGTTCCTCTCGTGGAACTTTAATGAGTCCTTGTCCTCGTTTCAGTGCCACACTCCTCACTTGGTGCAACAGTGCTATGGTAGTTAAAGGTTGGGAACTGCCCAGTATTTCATCAGAAGGTAAACTGTGGTCCCTCCACTCTGAAATTCTGTGAAGCTATTACAAAGGATGAAGCCTATAATTTTGGCATGGGAACATTCCCCATGTGCATTAAGTGGAGAATGCAAATTATCTTACCATTTATAGCCTTACTTATAAATAACTAAAGTTAATACATTAGTATATCCTTTGGGTAAGTTAAAAGCATGTATACCAAACTTTCCCTGATGGCCACCATGTTTGGATGGGCAGGTAGAGCTACAGGGGTGTTTTCAGAATTTGCTTTTATGTGCCTTTTGTACAGTTTGACTTTAAAAAAAACTGGACAACCCTCACGTCTCAGAGTCCTAGAGCTGTTACTCTCAAATGGTATTTTTCTCTTACAGGTGTCTCTTTGCCTTTTAAGCCAGTCCAAGCTACTCGTAAGGATGGCATGGGAGCCAGATGATTAAGCAGTCTGTCCCGTGTTTCATTTGAGCTGCTGTTGTGGTCTTTGAAAAATTCCAGTTTAGTTTCACATAATATTTTTCAAGCTTGTCACAAAATAACACACTTTTCTGTTTATTGTTTGAGAAGAGTTTTTTGTTTGGATTTTGTGGAGGCATTATTGACCTGCATGTAATTTTATGCTGTCGTGTCTTTCTAAAGACAAAGTCACATCCATTGCCAATATCTTTGATGATGAGGAAGGATATCTGTTCAAAGAAAAAGCAGCGGCTTTGCCAGAAGCCACTGTGAATCAGGTGAACACCAAGCAAGAGCAAAAAAAAGGGTAAGTGTGTGGGAAGACTAAACACAGGAGTATTGATTTGGGGCATCTTGTTAATTCATTTGGAACTCAGAGGAAAGTATTGTTTCCTTTTGTGTGTATAATGTTCAAACACAGAAAATTGAAAGAAAACTACAGTGAGCGCCCACAGAACTACCACTCAGGCTCAGTAGTTGTATTTTGCTTGCTCATTGGTTTTCCCCTCCATTGATAGCATTTGTCTGACCATGTTGGGGGGTGCAAAAGAATGCTTTTTTAATTCTTTCATTTCTTCACGTTTATAGGCTGGCATTCTCCTCCTCCTCTACCACTCTTTTAATATCACTGTAGGAATAGGATCATGGGTTTTCCATTCAGCCAACATTCTAGAGTCCATGAGTGTCATCATCTTTTTTCTGTGCTAAATGCCCTGGATTTGGCCAGTGGGATGTGTCTGCCTTTGTCTTTAAGCTCTTCTGGCTGCTCTCCCTTCCCTTGCTGCCCTGCACAGCTTGATCTTTCTAAAGCAAATCTTGTGTCCTGTCCTGTCCATGATACCCTGACCTTCTCGCTGCCAGCCACCTAGCTCTCAACACTCACACCCTGGCAGGATCCTAGGGCTGTCCACCCTTGCTGACTTCAGTCATGTGTGTCCCATTTTTGGCCATTTGTGTGTCAGGTGGGCGGTCTGTCCTACTTTCTGATCCACCTGATGTACCCACCCCCTGCTTTACCTTAGTTTTCTCTTCTCACACACAGCTTCCCCTGCTGAGAATGTTCTTGCTTGTACCATCTCCCAAGTCCAGGCCTTTTCTGTCCTAATGAACTATTTCTTCTCTCTTTCCTATATACCAATCTTTAAATTCTTTCTTATGATACTTGTCCTTTTGTATTATTCTTTATACAAACTTGATACATGTCCATAGTATCTCCTTTGCCCTGGTGCATGGCCTGGTGCCTTATCCTAGCAGAGACTGCCTACACTTTCTAAATGAATGATTGAATGTACCCTTGTTTTCAGGTGTCTTGTTTAACTCTCATTTTTTTTTCTTCAAAGATTGCCATATCTTCCAGCAAAAATCTCACGCTCTCATCAGAAACAAAGATTCAGAAAGGCTTATTTTCAGATGAGGAGGACTCTGATGTAAGGAATTTTTTTTCTTAGTTCTGGGAATTAGTCCTTTGATATGACATAAGAAACTATTTCTGAATCAGGATTTTGTCAGAAGAGATGCAAGACTTTATTAAAGACTTTAGTTCCTTCTTTGAAAATAATGTCTTGAACACCTGGCCTTTAGAAATCATTATGTATGCAGTACTTCTCACTGTTGGGTTTGAATCCAGTTTATGTCCTAGGAGGAAAACATTCTGCTCAGGATGTTCAAATTTAAGGCTGTTTGTTGACCCACAGTGCAGTGAGGTGCTTGTATCAGAATGGAAATCAGCACACTACTTCCTTTTTCAGTAGCACTAAATAGCAGGTTTAGTGACATATATTTCAGCATAGCCTTTTCTCTTGTAACCAGTGTTGGTTTGTGGGCTGGCATCTGCCTGAAGTACCCTTCCAGTGGAACAGTACCGGTTTCCAAAAGTGTCACTGCCTTGTCTGACTCCCACAGGCCCACATCCCTTTGGAGATAATTTTCAGCTAGGTTTTTAGGGGTTTGAAGCCCTATCTGAGAAGGTAGTGGGCAATAATAAGTCCCATGCACAGAAAGATATGTGGACGTGGCAGAAGTTTACCTGTAATTTCAAGAAGCCGTGAACTCTGGGTTAAGCTTTCTGGTTACATTGCACTAACAGCCAGGATGAACATACAGCTCTTCGGAAGCAGAGTGATTGCCATTGATGTAAATAAAGCCTTTTGAGGCTTATTTTTTTATTACAGCCAGTGTACAGAAGATAGGAATTAAAAAGTCCACTTAAGGCAAACTCGTGACACGTGAGCACTGCAAACTGGGACCTCAGACTCTGGTCTTAACCCACACTCTCATTTCCTCATCATTAAGCCCTCCCCCCTCACCCCCCCCACCTCCTTTCCCTTCCTCTGGAAATACACTTCCCAGAATCTGGATGGCTTGCTTCCTCACTTTTTTCCAGTACCCTATGAGGTTTCCCCGATGACCCTTTGCATGATAGCAAGCCTGCCAGCACACACCACACACTGCTTAGCCCGCTTTTCTGCTTTATTGTTCTCCACAGTATGTACTGCCATGTGACATTTCATGTCAACACGCTCATTGTCACCTTACTTGTTCATTGTCTTGGCTAGAATAAGCTCTGTGAGGGCAAGCAGTTTTGTTTTCTGCTTATATCCCTAACATCTAGACTGGTGCTTGGCACTTGGTAAGTCATCAAGTAGTATTCAACTATATTAAAACAAACAAACATGCACCAATTTCAGACTTAAAAGGTGTTTCAGTTATTTCATACCATGAAATAATACACCAAAACTTATAGGCTTAAAAAACACAGTAAGTTTTACTACCTTTTATGGTTCTAGAAGGGCTCAGCTAAGCAGTTTTTTACTTAGGGTCTCTCATACGTTCCAGTCTGGAGGTGGCCAGGCTGAGTCGTCTCATCCACATGTCTGGTGCCTGCATAGGAAAGACTCAAACAGCTGGGACTCTTGGGGCACCCAGTTTGTCTCTCTGTGGTCTCCCAGCATGGCAGCTTCGGGAAAGCTGTATTCTCACGTGGTGGCCCAGGGCTTCAAAGTAAGATTCCCACATTAGCTGCACGGAAGCTGTATTGCTTTCTGTAACCCAGCCTCGGAAGTGAGCGTTATCATTGCTGCCACACTCTGTGGTCACAGCCATCACAAAAAGCCTGCCATGGTCCAAGGGCAGGCAGCACAGACTTCACCTCATCATGGGTAGAGTGTAAAAGAATTTGCAGACAGGTTTTAATACCATCACCAAAGGCTTTCTCCCATGAGTATTATCATAGATTGTTTTTTTTTTATGCTGTTAGAGTACTTGGTCAAGAAGAAGTAAAACAATGCAGTCTAGGAGAGAAAACTTTAGACAAGGGTTGATTTTATTTTTTTGTACTCCTGCCTCTGTATCTCAAGTGTGGAGCTAAAACTTGCTCTGTGAAATAATTTTGGAAACTTGTTTGAGGTAATGGAAAAGCCTTTTTTTATTACACCAAAGAAGACTAATGTCAAAGGTCCAAAACCATGAGGTTAAATTTGTTTTGTTTGTTTATTATTCATTCATTCATTCATTCACTTTTTAAAGCAGTAGAACCCTTTTCCTAAGTGAACTCTTGCCAATGTGTAAAATGCAGGAGAAGCATGAGAAGCCTGGAGTCCGCCCGTGTGACCTCTTACACCTGAACAGGCCCATGAAACTCCACGAGGCCCAGGCAAAAAACCACTGGGCTGAAAGGAGCTCTTTTCAATTAATGAATTCATTAGGGTGTATTTAAAGAGTAGACTGAATCCATAGTAAGAAATATTTTCCAAAGAGGACTTATAAATTATGTTCTTATCCTAGTTAATTGTCTGGCTCTTGTGTATTTAAGTTTTTCTTCTGGAGAGAATAGTCCTATTTTTGTTTCTGATTCATGGAGCTAAATTTGCAGATCTTTCTTTGCTTTATAGGTTGATTCTTTATAGCATTTTGAAAATTCAGTCTACCAGGTCTTTCTCTACTTTGCAACATCTCCTAGCTATAGTTCAATCAAAAATATCAAATATTTTAAAATAAAAATTTTTGTTGATTTGAAAGAGATAGCATACTCTTATAAAAGGGCAGAGGAGTGTTAGTAAAACAGAATCGTAACATCCAGCATTTTGGGAATCTAGCCTCTATTTGTGTTACTGAATTTAATATCTTTGTAGACAAGGAAAAGGAAGTCATTCTAATTCTTTTTAGTCTGATAGAAGATTGACTGGAAAATTTCCTCCACCTTAAGCCATCCAAGCGGGAATGTAGAAAACTCTGAGACCCCCTGGAGTTCATGTGGGTCTCTCCCTTCTCATACAGAAGTATTTCTGTTGCATACAGCCGGAAGCATGGTCCTCAAGGTCTGTCTCAGCCAGCTTCTCTGTTTTTTTTTGAGAGGGCATCTCTCATATTTATTGATCAAATGGTTGTTAACAACAATAAAATTCAGTATGGGGCGGTCAATGCTCAATGTACAATCATTAATCCATCTCAAGCCTAATTCTTGTCAGTCTCCAATCTTCTGAAGCATAACGAACAAGTTCTTACATGGTGAATGAATTCTTACATAGTGAATAAATTCTTACATGGTGAACAGTACAAGGGCATTCATCACAGAAACTTTCGGTTTTGATCACGCATTATGACCTATAAACAATCGGGTCAAATATGAATATTCGTTTGATTTTTGTACTTGATTTATATGTTGA